TAGACAGCCTGTACTGTCTGCACAGACAGCCCATGCTGTCTGCCAGCAAAATAATGACCCTAACTGAGGACCATCAGCAGATCCTCCATGAAAATCATAAAACGCCCTTAATACTGAATCTAAGTTCAGCATAACCAAATCCCCGACTACGATGGTGCAAAGATGCCACACAAAATAGGTCAGAAGCTTTAGCCTGGGACCTGAACAGTTACATAGTTACAAGATGTATGTTTCGACTCACCAACGTAATCACACTCTACAAAAAGAGTCTATATAACAAACAACAGGCAGCTATAGAGAAAACGCTTGTCCCGTGATGATCAGCTATCGAGATAGCGATTTCTCTACTACAGGCCTCACATCAGGTGATATCATGCGACTCGCCCCTGGTACTGCAGAGGCGCCGTCAGGTAAACAAGCGAGCTGATAGTTAGCTAAGCAGTTTACCAATGCGGACAGCCAACCACAACTCTCGAACAGTGAGCACAGTGAAGTGTAAATGTTACATCCATTCGCGACCTAGCTGTCAGGGAGTGTGGACGTGACTCGCACCTCTCAACTGACAGTCTAGCAAGCTATCCAGTGGCGTCATGGCATTTAGCATGAGGAGGCGGGTGAATACCATAGATATAGAGCTTATTCGGGGGCGATTATGCCTGAGACTGTACAGGTATTGCTACCCAAGATTATCCGTGACACTTATGGTATTGAGAACAAGGATTTGCATGGTGTGGCTTTAAATGGCGCCTACCGAATTTTTGTGAAACTACTCAAGGGGCCAGTGTACCTGGAGTTTACCTGGAGAGAGTTCCAGGGGTCAACGCCCCCATGGCCCGGTCTGTGACCAGGCCTCCTGGTGTATGAGGAGCTGGTTGAGCAATTTCAAGATATCTGCGTAGATGTGTCCCCTGCAGTGCGTGTGCGTATGGTGGATGTCTCACGACAATATACATGGGTGAAACTGCGCAATGTGTCCTTCGAGGCCGATTCAGTGGATCTCAGCAGTGCTTTCAGAAGATAGTGGTACACATGGCAAAACAAGGCAAGTGGGTGGCTGGGGCGTATGTTGGTCTACCCGAAGGGACGTTTACCCTTAAGATGTCTCTACGCCAGGCCATACCGTCGTATGTGTACCTTGATGATTTCTGCACGCAGGTCATGGTGTCGTATGCTGGACAACGACGGACGTGCCGCCTCTGCGGCAACTATGATCATATGGCGGCAGAGTGTGGGCAGCGAGGGCAGGCCAGAAGGCCGGCCGGTGGAGTAACAAATGATGATGGGCAGGAGGCTTCCATACGTAGACGTCAAGGAGATGGTGGGCGTGGTCGCCTTTGGAGTGAGGAGACTGAGGAGACAGTAATGGAGTCAAAATTGGAGATGATGTCTCCCGAGTTGTCTTCATTACCGGTGGTACAGCAGGGTTTTGGGGAGGAACAGGTGACGACAGAAGTGGAGGACTTGGATGCGACATTAGCATCGGTTTTGCATACCATGTTCCCGTCTACGGATGTAGTCTCCCCGGCTGTGCCGTCGGCCAGTCCGGAGCTCGTGTCTGTGGCGGTCGAGCAGCAGGAGGCGGTTGTTGGTGCTGGTGAGACTGGCGGGGATGTGATGCCCCTGGTCAGAAGGCATCGACGAAGGTGGTGGTGGAGGTTCATCGTGTGGATACCCCGGTCACAAACATGGAGGAGGACGCTGGGACGAGGAAGAGGGCGGCAGCAATGTCGGACTCTGACGATGTCCTGACGCCGGCTCAACGTACAGGAAAGAAAGCATCGGTAGACGGGGGGCGGTGTGCTAGTGGAGGTGAACAGCAGGTGGTGCCAGGTGGCACGGGTGTCGTGTGTGGAGAGCATGGCAAACGTGGTCCCCAGGGCCCAGGTGTTAGTTTAATATGTTTATTATGCACCCCATACCCATCCTGTGGGCGGTAGTCAAAAGATTACAGAGGTACATAATTGGTCCAGGGACTGGACTCCAAAGTTTTGATAGCTGAGCAAGTTACAGAGGTAATGAACTCACAATTTACAAAGGTAATGAACTCACAATTTACAAAGGTAATGAACTCACAATTTACAAAGGTAATGAACTCCAGGTAAGTCTGGTCACAATCATGACAAGTTACAAAGGTATTTACAGATTACAGAGGTACATAATGGGTCCAGGGACTGGGCCCCCAAAGTTTTGATAGCTGAACTAGGTACAAAGGTAATGAGCTCACAAGTTACAAAGGTAATGAATTCTGTAGAATGGTTACTTACGTTTATACTTTGGCTACAATCATGAACAAATTATAGAGTAATGAGCAATTCACACTTCCACACCCGGTCACAACAGGTGGCCATACAAAAGTAGTAGTGGGGCAGCGAGGGAGGAAACCTTAGCCAGGTGAGAGCGGGGTTTAGGTAGGGGCGGGACACGTCGTGGCAGGTGTGGTGAGGTCTGCTGTATGATGGCAAGTAGTGTTAGTTGTGAGGGGCCTGCTGTTATGTGGCCTCTTGTATACACACGTACAGAACCTTTGTAATAAGAGGGTGTCCCAACGTTCATTTTAGTATCCTTGAAGCTGCAAAATGGGCTATTGTATATACATGTACTGTATCAATGTGATAAGATGTTTCCCTTATGTTAATATTTGTTATTAAATGTACTGTGTCTTTGGTGTTACTGTTTCACCAATACTTGTATAATTACCACTTAGGTTTATTCATATATGAATTTTGGGAATAGGTGTCATTACCGACAGTGAATTCCTTATTTCGGGGTGGGGGGGGCAATTAATGTGTAATAAGTTTAAGTCATTAACGGTAATACCAACTTTATTGGTAGTTGTATACATGTGTTTTGAAATGTAATATTCACATTGTGTTAGTCTTATTTAAGGTATTGTGATTATGGTAGTCCTGTACCATCCATGGTTGTAAATAATGTTTCCTCAAGTGACATTGTGTCACAATATTCCTAAATTGAGGATAATTAATGTCATCATTATTCAGATTGGTGATGGGGTTAGTTTTCAATGTGTGTGTGAGTGGGGGAAGGGATGATGGGTCACCTGTGTTGCTGCACAGGTTTCTTAATAATGCATATTCAGGGCCGTTTTACCGCATAGGCAAACTAGGCATTTGCCTAGGGCCCCGCGCATTTGGGGGCCCCGCGGTCCAAGGGGTTCAGGGGCTCATCCAAGACTGTGCACATGGTGCAAGTTCAAAGGGGTCCCTACCTAAAAAGTTCAAGTGTTTGGAGAGTAAAATTGATTTTTAAAAATTAATCAAAACAAAAATAAATAATGAAATAAAATAAAATAAAAATAAATAAACCTAACCATAGATGGCAACACTCAACACGCCTTTGTTTACATCAGAACAGCTGTGTTTTCCCGCTAATGGGTGAGTATGGGAGATTCCTCTCCAATTTTCTGTAGTTTATATGATTTGATAGTCTTATGCATGATTCAATGATAACAATAATGGTCAGTGATTTATAAAGGGAATAATAGTGCTGTAGTGGTTATGCTGAATATAATAGGTACATGATGTCACTACTTTAATAGCCTAATCTAGTAATACTATGCTGTCTTGAGTTTATTCTCTTTAAAATTAATGATTTAACAAGATAGTTATAATGGCTGTTGGTAAATGGTTTTGGTTGTCTTGATGTACTTTCCCTATTAAATTTAATCTAAATAGCCAGAATGTATTTAATTAGACCTTAAACAGGCTCACACTGACCCCACCCACCCCCAAGCTGGAAGGGGTCGCTTCGCTTACCCGTAACTCAAAGGGGCCCCGCCAATCTGAATAGCCTAGGGTCCAGAGACTTCTTAATCCGGCCCTGTGCATATTGTAGGTCTTGTGTAATTTGTTGCGAGTTGTATTACGGGTGATTGTCATTAAGCTTGGTGCATTATTGTGTTGAGGTTGTAATTTAGGAGTTTTATTTGTAGCCATTTTGTGGCCTTTGTTATTATACCTTTATTCCTTCTTGAATTGTGATATGTTTTAAAAACTTGTATATAGTAGACTGTCAGATGTTGCCTGAATTGTTTTGTGTTTATATATTGTTTTATTGATGTCCTTGTTCAAGTCTTTTTTGAATTTTAAGTGAACAAGGGAATGTGGAATGTATTCATTGGTGGGGAGGGGGGGGGGAGTGTAAGTAATAATGAGTAGTTACCATTATATCTATGAACCCTTGTGTACTTGTGAAACAATGTACGTAGAAGCAGTCTGTAGGTTGTGTTAAGTTTATTTTAAGGTCCTTATGTATGTACTTATTCAGTAGATTGTGTAGTGAATGTTATTGCTCATCATCAGTGTCACATAGTGATATATCTACCTATATATATATTTGTACATGAAGTTTTAAATAAAATATAAAAAAAGTTACATCGTACCTCATAACACAGCTGAGTCAAATAATAGTATAAAACGAGATATTTTCAGTTTAGCTATTAATGAAAATATCAGCAATATAAAATTATATGAAAGATAATATACATCAAATATACATTATATACATTGTGTCCCTTTCAGGGGGCACAATACTGTATCACTGCTGTAGGTTGCGTTCCCATCACGCCACGGTGTCACTGTCACACCACTGTCACTGTCACACCACTGTCACTGTCGCACCACTGTGTCACTGTCACACCACTGTCACATCACTGTCACACCACTGTCACTGTCGCACCACTGACACTGTCACTGTCACACCACGGTGTCACTGTCATACCACTGTCACTGTCACACCGTGTCACTGTCACCACTGTCACATCACTGTCACTGTCACACCACTGTCACACCACGGTCACAACACTGTCACACCACGGTCACAACACTGTCACTGTCACACCACGGTGTCACTGTCACACCACTGTCACTGTCGCACCACTGTGTCACTGTCACACCACTGTCACTGTCACATCACTGTCACACCACTGTCACTGTCGCACCACTGTGTCACTGTCACATCACTGTCATGGCCCTACATCTCACCTGAGCGAGGCGGCTCAGAAGGGTGAACACCTCCTCCGACGTGTCCACAGCACTCAGTACCTCTTCAGAGCTGGAGGGAGGAGAGGAACATAGTGTTTTCTTTATATATCTGCTTTTATATTTATACATATGTATGTTAAGTATCTATCTATGATTTTTATCTACTTTTGATATCTGTCTCTGATGTCTATCCCTGATATGTATTTATATGTCCATCTGCTTACATCCACTTTGTGTCGGTATGTAGCAGCGTCGCCATTTTCCTTTAAAACAGGTTGGCTGCGCAGCCATTATAGCAAGTGTTGGCGTAACAAAGATCATCCTTTTGGGAGACGAGGTATGACAGTAAAAATGGTTATAACTATGACCGTAATTTTTAAATGGGTGGGCCGGTAAGCCAGCGGAAGGCCTCGGTCAGATGACCAAAAGCTCCAACGGCGAGTCATCTGACTAAGACCCATGTCAGGAAACACTTGTCCTGTTTCCTGACGAACCTTGCCTAACCTAACAGAGATATGACATATTAAGAAACGAAAGGTTACTCATTAAGAAACATGATACGATAAAAATCGGAAGATGGTGTCCGCTTTATTATTTGGAGTGACAAAGCGGACACATTACACATACAGCCACGTAGAAAACAAGAGAGGTTTCAGTGTACGGTGGGTGAGACTGACCTGAGGAACCGTACGTAGGGGACAGAGACGAGGGGGTTCCACGAGTACAGTGTCTTAAGTTTCTCGAGCAGTACCTCCAGGAGCTCCAGCTCCCTGCTGCTGCTAGCCACCACCTGCAATATACAAACCTTTATGGAAATACTGAGGAACAGCAACTTAGCGTCATTCACATACGAAGACCGTGAATCACAACGTTGCTTGACAGCAATTATCTTAAAAGTATCAGAGAAAGATGAACTATTACAGTATAAATATCAGGAATTAGTTCAAGAGTGAACAAAAATAATATTTATTCCTGGAGGAAAAATATATTTTTTTTCACGATGAACTTATCGTCACGATGTCCGAAAGGAAATCTTATTTTTTTTTTTTTATATATATACAATAGTCAAATTATGTTATACTGTCAACATTACATAATACCTTCAACATGATCTGACGGTCCTGTGAGGACCGTCAGATCATGCTGAAGGTATTAAGCATCTGTGTGTCATGTGTTCAATGCATAATTGTGAGAGTTACATTCCCAATATCTGACAGTAATGGAGGCAAGATGGACAGATATGCATTTGTGGTTTTAACTGAATTTTGTTTTTGCTTATTAAGTCATACCAATGACTTTACCAGCTGTCTCTAAAATTCTGGAAGAGTTATGAAAAAAATTGGTAAAGGGATCCCTGTGATTCAGAGCGAAAAGTCTAGAAATAGGTCCGAATTTATAATTACATTTGTAGGGAGTGCTAAACCCATAGGGGTCATAGAGCACCTGGGGGGAGTGGGAGGCATTCAGGTTCAGTCCAAGGAAGGCAATGGCAGATCCAATTCTTTTTATGAAGAATCCGTCATAAGCATCATGGATGTGGAAATTTATTTGGTCCCTAAAGTTCCACAGGATAGATACGGCGTACGAAGGGGTCCCAGCATGGCCGTTATCGAACGGCTGAGCTGGGTGGCCCTTACACCCAACCCCAAACACAAACATTCTCTCCCGGATTGTCGAATGTGGATGAGAGTACTACTTAATTTATAGATTTACCCTTCAGGGAAGAAGTAGGTAGTTTTACTGTTAGTACACTAATATTAGGATTATTAAGGCAACTGTAGATAATAATAATGTAGACCTAAGACCTTAACATAGGTAGTAATAGGCCGATAATGTAGGCAAGCACTAGGTTAAGTTAACTAGGGAGAACTGGCTGCCCTAGTTTGCACCACGAGACGCTGGTCTGGAAGACTCCAGCTCGCTCTTCTTTGACCAGACATCACCTGGACAAGACATGCCATGATCAGCAGATGGCACCCCCATGTGTCTTCACATATGAGACCTGGGGAAATCTGGTAGAGGCACCTTGATGTACTGTAGATGACCTCCTCCATCAGGCCCATACAGTAGGACAAGACCTTCACTCTTTCGTAGGATTCTGGCCAGTCTCTGGGGAAAGCTGTGAGTGAGTTGAACTGTGGGCCTTTGTGCAGCTGGCAGTGCATGCTCAGTACGTACCAGTGTCTCTTGTGAGTCTAGAAGCTAGGGTCCGTGTCTGCATAGTTATACTAGGGGATACCCACCCCCTTGGATATAGGAATTTCTGAGGTGCAGGCAGGTCACTAATAACGATTGAATATTGCAGGAATTAAGGCTCCCGGTTGCACGTGGTTTCTGAGGGGAAGTCCAAAGGGGCTAAGCTTAGGGAGGTTGAAGATCAGGATATATGCTGCAACACCAAGTTAGTCCTTTATACGTGCATGGAGGTGAGTTTCTTGCAACATCAATCATTTATGAAAATCTGTCCTATAAGCCACTTGTGAGGCTGAGGTACCGACCTCAGAGCTCGATGTCAACAGAGCTTGCCAGGGTAGGCGACTCACTTGGAGGCAGTCCAGACAAATTTTCACACGTGGTCCTTTGAACCATGATGTGGAATAGCTAGGTTAAAATTAACATAGCTAGGCCACAGTTAGGAACCAGTTTAACAGAGTTAGGTTAAGTTAGTACACCTAGGCCCAGAGTTACACAGAGGCTAGGCCAAGCTGACTATACACAGTTGTTATTTGCAGTAATTTACAGGCAGGCCAGGTAGGCTAGAGAAGCTTGTGAATTTAATTATTTACAGTGATTACAAGTAATCCAGAGTAGAAGACTTGTGTGTTAATTACTTACAGTGGATAAGCAAGGTAGCCACAGTTAGGCTAGCTTGTGCAATATTTACAACAGTTATAGTAGTTAGGACAGATTTAACCTAGTTATTATTTACAGGAAGTTCTAAAGCCAGGTTTAATTAAGCTATAGCACACTAGTTAGGTTAGGATGTACCTTATCCAACCATCCATGCTAGACTGAGTAAGCTGGGCAGTTAGGCCAAGCTGTTTACATACATTATTCATTTACTGTTTCACAAGTTGAATTGTTGAACTTATTTGGGCTAACCAAGTGATTTTAATTTGTATATTGCATTTTTATTGTGTGATTTTCACTGTCTTTGACTCATTTTAATGTGGGATTTGTGAATTGTACCTGAGACTAGGTTAAGTCCTGTAATTATTTGCTGGCATTGTACAGGAAATTGCTAGGTTAAGCTCTCACATCGTTACACATTTCGATTGGGATTTGAGAGCTAAAAGTGTACATTTTTTATTCAGAGTAGAGTCAATAAAATAAAGGGAGTTGTTAAGCTTGTTGAGAAGCCTTGAGACTCGTTCATTCTTGCCTAATACCGTTTGTGCTGTGGGGTGGGCTAATTGAAGTACAAATTAGTACCATGATCTTAACTAAACCGCAACTATGGTAGGTGAAGATGTAGTACCAGCTGTCCCAGCTCTAAGTCAATTAAAGCGGTCTATGGGAGCCTATAAGGGACGCCTGAGCAAAGCATGTGAGGAGTGTCGTATGACCACGCAAGATCAGGATGTAGACTGTGAGGAACTTGAGAGTTGCCTGAAACCTTCGGAGCAAAGGCTGGAGGCCTTTGAGAGATCATTTATCCTTTATGAGACAGAGGCCTATACTACAGGTGAGTCTGAATATACAATCGAAGTAGCATGGAAGGACTATGACGAACGAAGGGCAGAGTGTAAAGCAGAGATGAGACTGCAGGCAGTTAATAAAGACTTTGAAGGCCGGTACAGCAGGGGCAGCAAATGTTTCAAGGAACACGAACAACAGCACACCTGTTAATGTGTTGCCCAGATTGCCCCAGTTGAGTTTACTAACGTTCGACGGAACCTTAACAGAGTACATTGCTTTCTGGGATCAGTTTAAAGCCCAGATAGATGACAGAGACGATTTGTCAGATGCCGTCAAATTACAATATTTACGTTCACAGCTCAAGGGTAAAGCCTTGGGCTTGGTCCGGCATTACCAAACCACTGACACTAATTACCAACATGCCAAAGACCAAATAAAGGACACGTTTGGCAATACTGAGGAGATAAAAGTGACTATACTTTATCAGTTGTTGGATCTAGAGGCTTGTCGCCATGACCGTCAGAGCCTAGAGAAGTTCCAAATTGAAATTATGAGTTTGACAAATAGTCTTATAGATTTACATGATTGGGGTAAGTCAGAATGGTTCATCAGTCAGGTGATTCAGAGGAAACTGGCTAGCACTACAGTGCATGAGTTACACTTAAAATATCGGACGAATAGGTTCACGATAAAACAAATTGTTGAGGGGTTGGGAGATCTCGTTTCTCATTTGAGTATAGGTGTGAGAGAAGAGTCACCACCATCACCACATAAAAATCCAGACAGTTACTCAAAGATCTCGAGAGATCAGTCCAAAGCTCATACGACTATGGTAGAGAAGTGTCTAAGGTAAGAACCTCTAAGCAGAACCTCAGAGGCACTCATGCCAGAATATGCGTGTTGTGTTCTGCGAAGGCGAACACGCTAGCACGAGTTGCTCGGAGTATATACCCCTCAAGGAAGGTTCCTTGATGTTGGTGAGGGGCTCTTGATTTAGGGAATTGGATCTGTGCTCCAGTTCCCCGAATTAAGCCTGAATGCCTTCCACATCCCCCCCAGGCGCTGTATAATCCTCCGGGTTTAGCGCTTCCCACTTGATTATAATAATAATCGGAGTATATAACACTGAGCAGTAGGCAACAGGGACTAAGGGAGTTGAGACTGCTTCAAGTGTTGTGGGGAACACTTTGCGAGAGACTGTGGCACCAAGCTCAGTGAGTGTCGAGTCTGTTGCAAAGGTAAGCACCATACTGCACTATGTCCCAATAATTTAAGGGAACCCCAGGCTAGTAGGGATATCTCTCAGGTAGAGATAGAAAGTGAGTCTGAGCCTGAAATGGTAGCCAGCGTGATTAGTGGGAGTGAAGTCTCTAATCCAAGTGAGAATCACGGAGGTGCTGCCCTACCTACAGTCATGGCAAAGGTTGTGAATGGGCACAGGTCCGAAACAACCCGATTATTCTTTGACGCAGGAGCACAAGCATCCTTGATAACAAAGAAGCTGGTGGCTCAGGGAAGAAGTAGGTAGTTTTACTGTTAGTATACTAATATTAGGATTATTAAGGCAACTGTAGATAATAATAATGTAGACCTAAGACCTTAACATAGGTAGTAATAAGCCGATAATGTAGGCAAGCACTAGGTTAAGTTAGCTAGGGAGAACTGGCAGCCCTAGTTTGCACCACGAGACACGGGTCTGGAAGACTCCAGCTCTCTCTTCTTTGACCAGACATCACCTGACAAGACGTGCTGCCGCGATCAGCAGATGGCGCCCCCATGTGTCATCACATATGAGGACCTGGGGAAATCGGTAGAGGCACCTCGATGTACCGTAGATGACCTCCTCCGTCAGGCCCATACAGTAAGACAAGACCTCCACTCTTTCGTAGGATTCTGGCCAGTCTCTGGGAAAAGCTGTGAGTGAGTTGAACTGTGGGCCTTTGTGCAGCTGGCAGTGCATGCCCAGTACGTACCAGTGTCTCTTGTGAGTCTAGAAGCTAGGGTCCGTGTCTGCATAGTTATACAGCTTCTTCTTTATCTGGTGTGGCAAGGAATTCAGGTGGAATCCTGCCACCTATGATGTATCCTACTGCGGATCTGTATAAACCAATTCCTTCCCTAAACGTCCGTCGTGTAGACAGGAAGTCATCT